ACCCTGTCAGAATCGGAATGGATGTGCGCATGATTTAATAAAAATCAGCAATGAATAAAAAAGAAAGAGTCATATAAGAACAAAGACAATTTTTAAAGTAGTTCGGCAAGTTATAACTTGAGCCTACGCCCACTGTTATCTTATTGCTTTTGAGAGCTCATAAAATAATATAATTCATAGGAAAATTTGCTTATAAATTGCCCAACCCCCCTGAAAAAAGTATGATGGGTTATATAGTATCCATTTACATGATAGAGTTGAGATAAGATTTAAAACTTAGAATGGGAAGTTGCATGCTTCGCTACCTTAGTTGGAGTCTAAGCCAATCTGAATATGTTCCTTCCAAATTGAGCCAATCTAAATATCTTCTCTCCTTAGAAATTACCTCTCCAGATAGACTGCACACAATAGCAGCCCCCCCCCCCCCCCCCCCCCCCCCAGTTTTTGAAGTGCGTAATCACACTTCAAAAATCATGCCTTTGATCTAGATGGCTGTTGCACTATAGGCTGCTTCTCGAACTAAAGAACTTGAGTTATGCCTAGTGCGATCTAAGATTTGAAGAATCTTAAACACATGATCTCAGGCGAATGAGTGTAGCTATGAGTTTAATCAGGGAGCATAAAGAGCTTGATCTGAGAACATCAGAGCTCGATCAGAGAGCATAAAGCTCATCGAGAGTGTAAGGAGTTCGTTAGAAGCGTGGAGAGCTTGTTTAGAGCATAGCTCGATCAGAAAGCGTGAAAGCTTGATTTGAGAGCATAGCTCGATCAGAAAGCATGGAGAGCTTGATTTGAAGCATAGCTCGATCAAAACATGGAGAGCTTGATCTGAGAGCATGGCTCGATCAGGAAGCATGGAGAAATTGATTTGAGAGCATTGCTCGATCAGAAGCATGGAGAGCTTGATCTGAGAGCATTGCTCGATTAGGAAGCATGGAGATTTTGATCTGAGAGCATTGCCAATTAGGAAGCATGAAAAGCTTGATCTGAAGCATTGCTCGATTAGAAAGCATGGAGAGCTTGATAGCTTAGGAGCTAGAGAGCTTGAGAACTAGAGAGCTAGCTTGAGAGCTCGACAGCTTGGGAGCTCGAGAGCTCGAGCTCTTTCTAATCTGAGAATCTGATACGCAATCTGACCACGCGATCTGAGAGCTCTGATTTGGAAACGCTTCAGTATTTTGATGATAACTTAAGCCGCGACCTCAGATTTGATGATTCTTGGACCGTCGAAAGATTCCTCGAAGGGCTACAATTCTTGTGTTTACTGCTTTTTAGATTCAGACTTTATCCTGCTCATATTTTCATATTTGATAACATGATTCTAGAAAAAGAAGCGGGGATTTTTTGAAGAAGTTGAGACTTGCTGGAAAAACATGGAGAGTTGATTTGAACACCCCTCTCTCTCGCGCCAAAATGTTGATACAAAATCTGCACCAACCAGAGAATTTCGATTGACCCTGTTGGAACCGAATGGATTTGCACGTGATTTAATGAAATTATTAATGAATAAAAAGAGTCAAAAAATAAGAACACAAAATAATTTTTAAAGTGGTTCACAAGTTAGAACTTGAGCCTACGTACACTATTACCTTATTGTTTTTGAGAGCTTTAAAGAATTGTATAATTCCTAGGAAAATTTGCTTAAACAATTGCCCAGCCCCCCTGAATGATGGGTTTATATAGTACCCATTTTAATGATAGAGTTGAGATAAGATTTAAATACATAGAATTGGAAAGTTACATAATCTACGGCTACCTTAGTTAGAGTTTAGTCATCTAAATATTTTCCTTCTAAATTAAACCAATCTAGATATTCTTTCCTAATAAGAAATTATCCTCTCTGAATTGACCACACAACAAAATCATATTGAATACAGTATTAAACAACATTTTTTCACTAAAATATAGCAATTTATTGGAAGTTTTATTAATATCGAGGATGTCACAAAAGTTATCAGATTTATTAAATTCAATAAATATTATTTTTCAAAAAAAAATTAAATTTTTATAACGTTCTTTATAGTATTTTTGTTATGGAATAAGTTGGAATTACAAGAAGATAATAAGACCGGTCTAATACGATAATTTATGGAATCCCAGTTAAATTTTAGTGATCATTAAAGTTAATGACGAAAATATCCTCGATCGGCGACAAAGAGAGCCACCCCCCTAAATCGAGGGAGGATGATGTAATTATTCACTTGCAAATTCACAATTTATTTTCGAGAATGACACTGTAAGTACAGTATGCTGCAGTTTCAGAATGTCCAAACCAGCCATGCGGCGGCCATTTTTCTGCCTGTCCTCAAAAACCCAGTTGCCACGTCTAATCAAATACAAAATCCGGATTCCGGAAGAACTCAAGATAAAACAATTTACGACTGGTCAACATCTCTCTCACACGCCACCATCACCATCACCACCACACCCCCCCCCCAACTTTCTTCTCTGTCTGCAGCATTTGTTTTCATTCGTTGCTTCATTTTGATCTGTTCAAACTTTTTTTTCACATTTTGGTGCATAGTAGATGGCACAGGATGGCAGATAGCAAAAAGATGAAACTGAACAGGGCTGAGATGTGGCTTATGATTCCTTATCAGAGTACGGTTCTGGCAGTTTCTTTCTTTTCTGTGTTTTGTGGGGCGGGGATTTTTCCCACCCAAAGTTTGATGAAACAACAATTTCCCATCTATCAAGTTTCAAAACGACATTTTCTCACCCACAGTCTGTTAACTTTAACTAAAAAAAGGATAAAATGGTAAATTTACAAAACAGTTAAAAGATAGTTATTTCATTTTATCTCGTATATATAAACTTAAAAAAAAAAAAAAAAACCATGAATTCAAACGCTTCCTTCCTCACCCCACCGACAGTCTCCACTACTTTTCTCGTCAACACCATTACCGGTCAAGCTCTCACCTATGCTCAGTTCATCGCCAAGTTAACTCTATCTCCTTCTTGTTAGTGTATACCCTAAGAATGAATTGTGTTATCGGTTTCAGGGCATTATATCTTGTAAATACTCTTTTGAGAATGGAAGAAAAAGTTCTGATTTCACATGTTGTTTATTGCTTCATTTGTACTATTTATAACGCATGTGAAATGTCCGGATGATACGAATTTTTAGAAGATCAAATCATCGAAGCATTCCCTACGTAAGTAATGTTAATTGGGCAATAACATTGCATAGTAGGCATGCTGAATGCTTCCATTGAATATCATATGATGGTATTAGTGTGGGTGGTTATAAGAGTTATGTCAGTAGGGCATTAGCATGTACAAACAGTTAGTGAACTATTTATCGAATATGACCGATTACGATGAATCACATAGACATTTAGAATGTGGTCAATGATATATCGTAGGATCATACTAGTGTACCATTAATCTTTGGACTTGAGACATCATGGTTGGACTCGACATAGGATGCATATGATTCAAATGGTGTATATACACGAGACTAGTCATGTTTTGTGTAAGAAGTGAGTTTGGTCATATGTTATTCATGTGTGAGGACAAGTGATGGTCAAGATGAGATCCGTTGACTCGAAATAGTTTGGTCCCGAATTCCCAAACAAATGTCAATAAACATTGGAAAAGAGAAATCTCTAGCCAGAGTACAAAATAGTCATATGAAAAAGGAGTTTCATGATGACACGTTCCATTGTATTGATTAACAATTTGGATAAAGATTATGTTAAGGGTTTTGACATACCATGAACTTATACTTAATTGGGATTAGACGACAGAGGGATTTTGCTATATAAAACGTATGATCGGGAAAAAAGTTTATTGGAGTTTAACTTCATTGTGGATTAGGGTTTATGGAGCATTGTTAGATGCCTACCATGATCGGTGCGAGTTTCGATCATAAAGAGTTATGATGAAACATATTAGATTGTGATATAAGGCCCATAGCTAGGTTACAGTGAACCTAAGTGGTCGCACCTAAAAACCAAGTATGAGAAGAGAGAGTAATACATATTGTTAAAAGTTAACGATGTTCAGATGTAAACGTGTGCATCTAAATTTATATATTGGTGAGAAATGATTACTCATGGGAAACTAGCACTTACCAAGGGTAATAAGGTAATTTGGTCATTATTGGATTAGATTCAATGATGGAATAAAATATATTATTGAATTGTATGAGAAGAGAGAGTAATACATATCGTTAAAGGTTAACGATGTTCAGATGTAAACGTGTGCATCTGAATTTATGTATTGATGAGAAATGATTACTCATGGGAAACTAGCAGTTACCAAGGGTAATAAGACAATTTGGTTATTATTGGATTAGATTCAACGATGGACTAAAATATATTATTGAATTGGATTCAATAATGGGTTAAATTTTAAATGAGATTATTTAATATGCCTTGATTATAAATTTGTTTAAATCAAAGATTTAATATTAAATTGAAATTGTTTCAAGGACTTAGGATCAATAATGATTTAATATTAAGGAGTTAATATTAAATTGAAATTATTTCAAGGAATAGTGAATTTGTATTAAGTGTTAATACATGATTCACATTAATTCAAGGACTTGAGAACAATTTCAAAATGGTCTTTGCATATAAATAAGTGATATTTTCCAAATTTAATCTAATTTTTCATTTGGATCTAAAATCTCTCTCTTGAGCTCTTATGGCCGGCTCTCTTTCCTTCATCTTGAGGTGGACTTTACTTTGAGGATTTTCATCAAATTTCTTGAAGATCTTGAACTATTTTTTAAGTTACAAAAGTTGTAAAGCATAAAAGGTAACAATTTCAGCCTTTTAGTTTCAATAACATGTTATATGACCTTATACCATGTTTTGCACCAATTTTACCCTTTCTAGGCATGAATTCTTACACTTCTCACTCAAGACACACTACTTACTCTGCCAAATGATATCACTTTCATCATTTCCCCTCCCCCACCAATTGCCCGGATTTGGTGTTATATTGTTATTATTTGGGAAAATGGGCTGTTTTTTGTGTATTGAATTGTTAAGGAAATTGATGGGATCAGAAAAGGGATGGTAAAAATGGAATCACACCAAATCCACGTTGATTTGGCCATATGCGATTTGGTCGCCGAGGTCTTGGAAGCTCTTCTCATGAGAGGTCATGTTGAGGAAGCCCTTGGATGCATTGATCTGCTGATGCACAATGGTTGTGGATCCAATTTTGGTAGTCTTCTATCTATTCTATTTGAGAAAGGGAAGACTGTTGTTGCTCTGAAGTTGTTGTATTTTTGTGGGGAGAGAGACTGCATTGTAGACTTTTCAAACTGTGAGAAGATGTTGGATGCTCTCTTAGCAACCGAGAAGACTCTCAATGCATATTCTTTATTGTTTGAAATTTTGGCGAAAGGAGGAGCCACTGATTGGAAGAGCTATGAGGATTTGATTACTAGCCTTAATCAAGAAGGGAACACAAAGCAAGCAGATATACTCTCTAGAATGATAAGGGAGGGGAGACAACCCGTGGGAGCAAGAAGGGGAAGAAACAATTAGCAGTTCCCAGCTAGTTTTACCTTTTGGTCTCCCTTTCTAATTTTAGTGTAGTTTTTTAAGTAGAGAACTTTTGCTTGAAAATTTTAGTTTGAGAATGATTCAAAGAGCTCTATCTTGACCATATTAACTTGTGGAAAACATAATGTCATTTGTTCTGAATTTGAAAGGTGTAACACCGCATTAATCATCTTACTATACCACATGAAAGTTTTGCTTCATATTTCTGAAAATCCAGTTCTATGTTTAAGCTTTTACACATTTTAATATCAATTTCTTGTTGTAATGTTCATATTGTAATACAATCTAGTGAACCTAAAGCCAAGTTAGGCTTAAGGGGTATTGTGTCTTTGTTTCATCCGATTAGGTGCAAATCGGCAGCGTTTTTGGCAAAGGAGAAAGAAGAAAAGGGAGAAGGGTAGTTTTGTCTTTACACTGTTTATACATGTTAGAGAACATAATTTCCTAACAAAACATAATGGTGGGTGGGAAAGTGTCGTTTTGAAACTTAACGGGTGGAAAAGTGTTGTTTCGCCGAACCTTGGATGGGAATATGTTGTTCTCCCTTATATAAATGTCTAAGCTAACCCTTTTTATTTCCAAATTAGCTATAATATTTTTTTTATTGTTAATATATTGTAGATTAATTTTACCTCATTTTTCTCGTGAGATTGTTATTATAGCATAAAATTTGTTGATACAAAAATTTCTACCAACCAGAGAATTCCGATTGACCCTGTCGGAATCAGAATGGATGTGTGCGTGATTTAATAAAAATCATCAATGAATAAAAAAGAAAGAGTCATAAATAAGAACAAACGACAAATTTTAAATTAGTTCGGCAAGTTAGAACTTGAGCCTACGTCCACTGTTATTTCTTGCTTTTGAGAGCTTATAAAGAATAATATAATTCCTAGAAAAATTTGCTTAGAACAATTGCCTAACCCCCTAAAAACAAGTTATGATGGGTTTATACAGCATCCATTTACATGATAGAGTTGAGATAAGATTTAAATACGTAGAATAGGGAAGTTGCATGATCTTTGGCTACCTTAGTTGGAGTCTAAGTCAATCTGAATATCTTCCTTCTAAATTGAGCCAATCTAAATATCTTCTCTCCTAATAGAAAATTATCCTCTCTGGATTGACCGCACAACAATAGCCCCCCAGTTTTTGAAGTGTGTAATCATGCTTAAAAAACTCATGTCTTTGATCTGGATGGCTGTCGCACTATAGGCTGCAGTCTCGAACTAAAGAACTTGAGTTATGCCTGGTGCAATTTAAGAGATATGAGAGATCTTGAACATGTGATCTGAAGCGAATGAGCGAGCTTATGAGTTTAATCAGGGAGCATAAGGAGCTCGATCTGAGAACATAAAGAGCTCGATTAGAGAGCATAAAGAGCTCGATCTGAGAGTGTGAGGAGTTCAATTAGAAAGCATGGAGAGCTTGATCTGAGAGGATAGCTCGATAAGAAAGCATGGAGAGCTTGATCTGAGAGCATGGCTCGATCAGGAAGCATGGAGAGCTTGATCTGAGAGCATGGCTCGATCAAGAAGCATGGAGAGCTTGGTCTGAGAGCATTACTCGATCAAGAAGCATGGAGAGCTTGAACTGAGAGCATTGCTCGATTAGGAAGCATGGATAGCTTGATCTAAGAGCATTGCTCAATCAAGAAGCATAAAGAGCTTGATCTGAGAGCATTGCTTGATTAGAAAATATGGAGAGCTTGATAGCTGGGGAGCTAGAGAGCTTGAGAACTAGAGAGCTAGCGAGCTCTTTCTAATATGAGAGATCTGAGCACGCGATCTGAGAGCTCTGATTTGAAATATGCTTCAGTATTTTGATGATAACTTAATCTGCAGACCTCAGATTTGATGATTCTTGGACCATCGAAAAGATAACTCGAAGGGCTACAATTATTGTGTTTACTGTTTAGCCAGATTCAGACTGTATCTTGCTCATATTTTCACATTTGATAACGTGATTCTAGAAAAAGAAGCTGGGATTTGCTAAAGAAGTTGAGACTTGCTGGAAAAACATGGAGAGCTGATGTGAACATGCCCTCCTTCTCGCGCCAAAATGTTGATACAAAAATCTGCATTAACTAGAGAATTTCGATTGACCCTGCTGGAACCGGAATGGATGTGCACGTGATTTAATGAAAATTAGCAATGAATAAAAAGAGTCATAAATAAAAACATAAGACAATTTTTAAAGTGGTTCGACAAGTTAGAACTTGAGCCTACGTCCACTATTATCTTATTGGTTTTGAGAGCTTATAAAGAATAGTATAATTCCTAAGAAAATTTGCTTAAAATAATTGGCTAGCCCCCCTGAAAACAAGTTATGATGAGTTTATGGGAGTGTTTGTCTAAGCTTATGAAAATTAGCTTATAAGCAACAAGTGCTTATAAGCTAATTTTAGCTTATAAGCATTTGAAATTTTAAGCAATTACGTGTTTGGTTAAAATACTTATAAGTGACTGATAAGTAGTTGATGTGTTTGGTAAAATGTGGCTTATAAGTACATTTTATTATAAAATGACTAAAAAGGGTTCTATATTATTTTATCAAATAATAAACTATATTAACTTAATTTTTTAAATGAGTAATATCCCAAGTTTTTAGATTCTTTATACCAAATAAACTAATGACCTATTTCAAATATAAAAATAAGGGTATACTACAGAATTTTAAAATTAAATAAGAATAAGGTGGTAATATACTTGGTCAAATTAGCTTATAAGCAGAGTGCTTATAAGCAAAAAAAAAAAAAAAAAAAAAAAAAGTACCTCCCCCCCAACTTATTTTTTTTTTGCTTATAAGCTCGACTTATAAGCTCAAAAAAATTATAAACAAACATGTCAGCTAAATTTTAAAGCTTATAAGCAAGTTTGACCAGCTTATAAGCTTATACAAACACCCCCTATATAACACTCATTTATATGATAGAGTTGAGATAAGATTTAAATACATAGAATTGAGAAGTTGCATAATCTTTGGCTACCTTAGTTGGAGTTTAAGTCAGTCTGAATATCTTCCTTCTAAATTAAACAAATTTAAATATCTATTTCCTAATAGGGAAATATCCTCTCCGGATTGACCACACAACAAAATCATATTGAATATTCAGTATTAAACAACATTTTTTCACTAAAATATAGCAATTTATTTGCAAGTTTTATTAATATCGAGGATGTCACAAAAGTTATCAGATTTATTAAAATTCAATAAATATTATTTTTCAAAAAAAAATTAAAATTGTTTTAACGTTCTTTATAGTAATTTTTGTTATGGATAAAGTTGGAATTGCAAGAAAGATAATAAGGCCGGTCTAATACGATAATTTATGGAATCCCAGTAACATTAACTCTAAATTTTAGATGATCATTAAAGTTAAATGACGAAAATATCCTCAATCGGCGACAAAGAGAGCCATCCCCCTAAATCAAGGGGATGATAATTAATTATTCACTTGCAAATTCACATATTTATTTTTGAGAATGACACTGTAAGTACATTATGCTGCAGTTTCAGAATGTCCAAACCCAGCCATGCGGCGGGCCATTTTTCTGCCTGTCCTCAAAAACCCAGTTGCCACGTCTAATCAAATACAAAATCCGGATTCCGGAAGAACTCAAGATAAATCAATTTACGACTGGTCAACATCTCATCTCACACACCACCATCACCATCAGCAACCCCCCGACTTTCTTCTTTGTCTGCAACATTTGTTTTCATTCGTTGCTTCATTTTGATCTGTTCAAACTTTTTTTTTCACAATTTTGGTGTATGGGAAGATGGATCTGTTCAAACTTTTTTTTCACAATTTTGGTGCATATGAAGATGGCACAGGATGGCGGATAGCAAAAAGATGAAACTGAACAAGGGTTGAGATGTGGCTTCTGATTCCTTATCAGAGTAGGGTTCTGGCAGTTCTTTGTTTTCTGTTGTTTTGTGGGTGGGGGATTCAGAGTTATGAGCTGGAAATTTGTTTGATTCTGAATAGAAAAGTATATCTCTGCGTGTCACGGGTTCTACTTCATCGTACCAACAGTTTTTATATTATTTTTTAGAGTAAACGACTACTTCCCAAAAGTCCACTCAAAAAGTTTCAAAACACCAAATAACCATCCACTTGTCAACTTCTGTTGGTAAATTCCGTCAAATACAATAATTATACTAGAAAGACAGAAATACCCTTAACTGTTGATAGGAATTATTTTTTTTATTATTATTATTATATGTCACGTCAACGCATTCAATTACCAATATACCCCCTTTTTAACTATGTAATTACCAATATACCCCTTTTTAGCTATGTAATTACCAATATATACCCAAATATGTATAAAATTTAAATTACCAATTTATCCCTAATGCTAAAAACCAATCAGTAATCGTTAAGATATTAAAATTTTGAAGTAATTAATATTACCATTTTGTTCATGTGTTTGATGCAAAATAAACTGACTGAATTTTATCAATTAAAACCCAGCAAGAGTGTAGATTCCAAAATCATAATGCAATTACTTGAATTGATACCAAAAAAAAAAGAAATTGGAAATGCAATTCAAATATGTTCAAGCTGGTTAAATAAACCAACAGGTTTTAAAGGGGAAGAACAAAAAATGGAGTTAAAATCACTAGAGGTGGGCATTTGGGACTGGGTCCAAAAACCCAGCCCAAAAATCCGATCCTAGGACCAGTCCTCTCAGGAGGCATGGTCTTTGAGAGGATCGGTCCTAGGAGGCCTGGTCCCAAAACGGGACCAGGCCTAAAGAGGAGGGCCCAGGCCCTCCATTGGGCCCAGGCCCTCCATTGGGCCCTCATCCAAGGCCCAGGCCCAAATTTTTTTGCATTTTTTTAGTTTAGTCCTTTGTACAATTACTAAACCCCTTATAAATTTTGAAATAAACATAAATTATAAAGGTTAAAATAAAATTTTACAAAATTTATAAAAAAAAAAAAAAATTAACTTTTTCTACTAACAGCCAACG